GTCCTTGAGTTTTTCAGGACAAGTTTCAATGCTCTTTCCATGAACCTAAACATGTACTTATGTAATGGTACATCCTCACAGTCAAATTCGAATATTTGGCTTGCAAACTCTATTGTGCTGATAGCTTGCCACATTCTTGCGTATTTATACATCCGTCGACCTTAATTGAGAGTTACTTTTCAGTTAACCTATATTATAGTTACAAGACATTGAAGTTTAAGCTGACAGGTTCAAGAATGAGGCGATAATGTTCCATTTAACTGCTGAAATACACTAATCAGCAACAACTTATCAGAACTAATTAGAGACCAAGCTCGATCGCGAAATCAGATTATGAGGAATATCTTATGCGACCTATTTTTTTCGACAAAAGGCGAATTTTAGACTATTTTGCATACGCCAATGTGCGTTTTACTTGGCACAACGCAGCGTCACTTATTTTCAAAAATTTAACACCTCATTAAAACAATTAGTCGCTATTAACTTATAATTGACTTTATCGCCTACTAGGGCCCTAGTTTCTACCAATGTAGTGTATTTGAGGAAATTAAATTCGCACTAACCAGACATAATCTTCGCAGCATTGAACTGGGAAGCTTCGAGAAACGATTACCTCCCCGGGGGAAGATACGGAGAGACTGAAGTTTTCAATGGTCCAAGTGAATTCCAGTTTTTTTGGACAAATCTATAAAGAAAATGTGGTTTAGCCAATAGGTATTTACCAAAAAAAGCGGTCAGATGAAAGTGAGGAAGAAAAGGACCAAAAAAACAAACAACTTACTCAGACAGGCATTTCCCCCCTTAAAGTACACTTCCTACATCACTTCAAGGAATCTTTCAAGCACTTTTAAACAACAACACAAGCCTTTTTCTTGACCTAGATTCGACCATGGTGCCAGTCTTCCCCGTGCCTGGAGTTTTGCCTACCTCCAGTTTTAATAAGTAACTAATTAAAGGAAGCAAGATGAGTAGTGAACATAATATTTACCCTTGCCAAACTTTTCGTGAAGTGGAATTGCTCTGAAGACTCATTAATGGCAAATAATGAGCTAGAGACCTTACTACGATGGTAAGTTAAAGAGGAGGCGTTTCTTCCGAGGTCTAAACAAATTAGTGCACTTCTAATAAATGAAATAGCCATTCATAATGCTATTGCTAGAATGCACTCTCCTTCTATTCAGAATTAGCCCGATTATTATATTCCCTTATGGCGTTCCGTTAAGTTTTATCTCAAGAATTTACAAACAGGCTAGAACGAAAACGGTAAGCATTACAGACAACAACATAAAACTCAAATGAGTCCTTAAAATGAGCAACCCCTTGAGGATAGCAAATTTTAATTTGGAAATTGGGCATAGATGAGAATGATCGAATATGCGTATCCGATCAATAAACGTCCAGTACAAAACATTTGAGAGCCCTTCCAGTTCAAGTTCACTCCTTCGAAATGTGAAGACCAAATTTTTTATTATATAAAACTTTATTCTCATTGTGTCTTTAAGAAAATATAATGACAATGGCTTTATTTTGGAGCTCAATGGTCAAATACGGAACAGTATTTCGGCATTTTATTTACATTAAATAACAATCATGGGATAGATCGCATTCTTAGGGAGGATACCGGGTTAGGCAAGCATGTAAAAGTAAGCCTACCATCCTCAGTTAACGGCCATTAACGTTTGTATACTTAACCCAGATAATACATAAAAATAAAAGTTGATAAGTCACAGTAGAATATATCTTCTGGATTAAATTAGTATATAATTACCATTTTTAATGGGATACTTTCTGGAAAATTTGTGTTTTCAGTTTGATGCATTCTACCCTCGCTCTTATCTTGATAAGCATTGAGCGAAAAGATCAAAAATTGAATGTGAAAGGGACATTGAGCATTATACCTTTCAGTCATATAATTATTAATAATATTATCGAAATACTGGAGACCATAGATTCGAAAAGGAAGTTATTACCTAAGAAATATAACAAAAATTTCAACGCTTCAGTCGTTTCTGCTAATTACAGTAGCCACAAAATAATTTTATAAACCTACGTAAAGGAAATAATTCTATCACAGACTCGATTTTTTTGATACCCTGACTAGTATATAAGGTCTCAAACACAATTCAGATATAGTAATATGAAAAATGGAAAAAATTGATATGGGTATTTCAGTAAGGTATATAATTTTCATAAGTGTTAAAATGAAGACAAGCGCATGTATAAATATAAAAGAAAAAAATATTAAAGAAGGTGGTTTTTTGTAAATCAATACCTTTGTGAAACACCACTGATGGGATTCGTTTACATCAGTTACTGAGACAAGGGAAAAATTTGGAACGTTCGGAGGTAAACTAATCTCCTCCATAGGTGGAACACCAGTTTTTGTACGATATTTGCAACGATGTGATGAAGTCAAATTTCCACGATGGCGACATCTTGCTCTTCGTAATTCGAAAATGCTCGGTATTTGGAGTCGTTTTTTATCTCGGGGTGAAAAAGGAAATTTTCTTAGGCCATCATGAAGTTTAGATTTACAAATTATATCTTCAGAGCTAATTTCAGGGAAAGCCAATAATTTTTCAAGAGTTGTGTTATGCATCATATTTCTGGGAATATCGATGAGTTCAATATTGTACCATATGACCTTTAAGTGCAGGCCCGCTAATTTAGCTCGTTATAACGGTTAATGTTTTACAATAGATTTAGCAACTAGCATTTTATTTCGATATATTAATTTTGAGCAATCTTTTATTTAATCAATTGATAGAGTAAAATAAAATTGAATCTGACATGATTTTAACATAATTTTTATTTCATATATCATATATAAATAAGTACATATTGTAAATCGTTGAAAATGTTTAATATTATCAAGCCTGCCATTTGAAATAAAAATGATATATTTTAAATTTATTGATGAAGAACGATATAATTTATTTGTGACTAATTGTCCATCTGAATACGTATAATCAGTAATAATTCTTAGGTAAACCGTTTGCCACCGTCTTATTTACTTTCCAAGAATACCACCTTTAAAATGGAATAAACTAAAATATGCAATCAATTGAAAGGAACACTTTAAATACAATAGTCAATGGACAGCCTTACCGGTATACTCGTTCTAAGTCGCAGGATGGATGCTTTCAATTTGAACAGGCAGATGAGGCGTAAGAATGTGTGTCTAAGGGAAAACTGTCTTACTAAACAAGTAACCGTATTTAAGGCTAGTGTATTAATTGATCCCAAATATAATAAGATTCACATTTATTGAACTAATTATTGCATTAACAATAAAGTAATTTTAACCTATTTTTCATATCACAAAGTCGTCCCAATTTCTTTTATTGGTAAACCATGGTTTATATCTCGTTTGATCTTCGTCAGAAATGAGTAATGTCTCGTCATACAACCTGAGCATCCTTATCTTTGTACTATTAACCTGACTAACTATGGAGAGTGGCGCAGAAATCTTAAAGGTTTAGTGTCATTCGATTTTAATGGACAATAAATGGAGATATTCGATGGGTATCGGATCAAACGTTTATCAGTCAATCAAGCTTGAAAATTCTTTGCGAATATTGTGTATTCCAATGTCCTTTATACCTAAGCTTAACAGTAACATTGGAAAATCTATGTATTTAACTTGAATTGCAGTTTTGAGAAGTAATTGTGAAGACCGATTTGTCTGTGATCTGGTTTAATCGGTTTAGGTTATAGATGTAAATGATCTCTTTGGTTCCCTCTTCAGTTAGGCCAATTTAAAGTGTCCATAGATTTTCTGAGACTAACAACAAATGCAAGTTTTTAATGATTATAAATAGAAGCTTTGGTTTGAATTAGTTAAAGCATGTGCAACGAATTCATGCTAGTCGTGATTATGTTGCAACCTAGAACAACAATGAATTAATAGGCTAACAATTTTGCTCATAGTTTGAGTCACTTAACCCGGATTTTGAAAATGAAGTTATAATGACATCTTACTCATCAATAAGGTAAAGGGTGAAAGAACTTGGAGTATATGTTGTTGGTGATTTTGACAAATTTAAGGCATTTCTATAGTCGACCAAGAGGTTCGTAGAATTGAAAACTTGAGCTTAACTATTTTTATCGAAATATCCCATCATTATAACACAAGTGCCTTTTGTCCGGCTTATAATTATAAATAGATAATCTTCTTGAAATTAGAAATTGATGAATGTAGTATCTTTATTTTTTTCACAAGAATGACGGTTGTTATAACATAATCAATTCATGGAACATTCATTTACGCGTTTCGCCTTTTTCTTATTCATATATCGAAATGGTGCTATCTTCAATAATAGCTTTGTTTATTTCACTTCAAGACATTCATATGAGTATTAAATTTTAAAAACATCGTGCTTTTTATATCGAACTATTTGATTTAAAGACTGGTATTGTGGCTCAGGAATATTTTCAAATTCTAAAAGCATGTTAGTCCTTGGTAAATCTAGGTCGAGTTAGCAGTTAATGCAAAACAAAACCACAAAGAAATACATTGAAGTCGAAATGTTTTTCGAAACCTATTTGACTTGCAATTTGAAGTAAAGTTTTATGAAAAAATTAAATAACTCATGCTTTCAAGCTTTTTAAACTCTTGGCTTACATTTTCCTCTGAATATTCATTTATTGTGATTTTTAAAATATTTGTCAAAACAAAAGAATGTATAACCAAAATAACAATACTGTGCAATTCAAAATAAAAGGGATGGAAAAAATTAAATTTTAAGTGAAGAATGACCATATGGATTAAGCAAGAACTCCAGCGCTATCAATAACTAAATAATTAATATAATTAAAGGAAATCTTAAAATAAGGAAACACTCAAATGGAATATATATAAATTAGTCAATATATATCATATTCTCTTAGAAATACTTAATAGTTTGCTTTAAATTTATTTTTTAAAGTTGTATATTTAATAGTTTGTATTTACCTTAAAAACTCACGCTCACTATTTGGATTTATCGTGCCCCAATAAAATGAAGAATGGTCGCATGTCATTGAAGCGCAAGGTATTATAATTTTCATTATATCATTGTGAATTTTCATATAAATAATGTATCTTTATGTCTAGTTCATTTCTGCTGGCGTTTTTAAAGCAGAATTGGACGAATTCCTCCGTCGTGAACTGGCTGAGGATGGCTATAGTGGTGTTAAGGTCAGATCTAATGAGCGTCACACGGAAATTATCATTTCAGCCACCAAAACTCAGGCTGTTCTTGGTGAGCAATCACGCCGCCTTAGAGAACTCACTTCTCTTCTCCAGAAGCGAACTCGCGGCAATAAGACTATCGAGCTTTTCGTCGAAAAGATGCTCACTCGCAGTTTGAGCGCTACCACTCAGGCTGAGTCCCTTCGTTACAAGCTTACTGGTGGTCTTCCAGTTAGAAAGTATGTTTCTTATAAAGGTATTTTGATTCGATTCTTTAGGGCTTGCTACAGCGTTCTCCGTTTCATTATGGAGGCCGGAGCCAAGGGCGCTGAAGTGATAGTTTCTGGCAAGATTAAGGGTCAGCGCGCAAAGTCAATGAAATTTAGTGATGGACTTATGATCCACTCCGGTGACCCAGTCAACTATTACATCGATCGTGCCGTAAGACACGTTCGCCTTCCCCAGGGCATTCTTGGTATTCGTGTAAAGATCATGTTAAACCATGATCCCGCCGGAAGAACCGGGCCAAGAAAGGCTCTGCCTGACTTTGTGCACATTCTTGCTCCTAAGGAAGAGGCCAAGGTAGAAGCTCCTCAGTGCATCCCAAGAAACCCAGCTGCTAAAATGAATAAATAAATCTGAACATTTTTTTGGAATACATGCATTGCTGTTTGATATGTGACCATTTACGATTCTCTGGGGTTGGTTTTCACTCAATCATAGAGGTATTTGGTTAGTAACCTTATTTTCGAAGCTTGTTTTGAGGTTATTCGCCCTGGTCCTTTGTTAGTTTCGTTTCGCTTATGTTTTAGGCTTGTTTGAGCTATTTGTGGATTTTTCTACTGAACAAATTTTACTCAGACAGTTTAGGTTGGCTGTAATGTGAGATCTAACTACTTTGTTTTGCGGATTTTTGCTTGTTTCGTTTTTTTCATAGAGTTGGCGTTGCCCCTTATGGTGCAATGACTGAGTAGGTGTTGGCACTTGAGTTATCTTAAGCGTAAAATTAGGTGGATATGGGCGTAGCAAGTGGTCGTCTTCTGTTTTAGCGTGTTATTGGTTACATTTTATTCGCTAAAGCTGTTTTGCGTGTTAATCCTTAAGATTGGTTTTTATCAGTAATCTATTACATATTGGTTGATCCATTTAGTTTCAGCTATTGAGTACTATAATCAGTCGTTGATTTACCAGAGGCATCAATAAGTTGTACATTTTGCTAGTATTTTTGTGTCGAGATCAAGTGAATGTGGTAACCGTATGTCATTCTCATTTTGTCATTTGTTCAATATTATTTAGGGCAGTAAATTGTGTTCTATTAATTGTGAAAGTGTCATTCCAAGTTCATAACTGAAACCCATGGCAATGTGTTCGCAGTCCACCATTGTCATTTTTGGGTTAATCGGTCAGTAGCAATTGAAATATTGCTACGAAATTGTGGTAAGGACTATGGAAACATTGTCAGGGACTCAAATGTCCATGGGGAACTGTTCAAATACTCTTGTAGTGTATATGTAGATTTAAAAGAGTACGAATTCGGATGCCGCTGCATTAACTCATGATTTTAAAAAAATTATGGGATGACGCACGTATTGCTTTTCCATTATGACAAAAATGTTCTTGCTTGGAACTAGAAGGCAATGGTTTGTGTTAGTGGTTAAGATCAAAATGCCAATTAAATCCTATAAGTCAAGCCATGATTGAGCTCCTAGAAATTTAATCAATTATTTTTTTGGAAAGCAATGAAAGGTGGGTTAACCTATTACTGATTCCCAAAACCGGTTGAAGCAAAGCCGAACTTAACTGTTGGCAACAATTTAGAGGGTTAAGAATGAATCTTCAACCATTTTGAGAGGGGAAGGGATAATTTTTCAAAATGACAGTGTCCAACCCACAAAGCGGTAACGACCTACTTAACTATTGCGAAAATAAATTAGGTGGTTCTGTCGCATTCTCCGTCTTCATTAGACCACTCCCCATTCGATTATTGCAACTTCTGGTCCATGGATCACATTCTAATAGTCAAATAAGGCTCGAAATAGTATTGAAGTGGTAATCCACGGGTATTTTTGTTCCAAGTAATTTCCCAAAAGGGGTTAGAAAACCACTTGGGCAATGGGAAAGAGTTGCAAATGTCAAGCAGTATCATATGCATATATCTTTGTATAATAACTGATACAAAAAAGCATGTCCCAGTTATTCTGTGTTTATTTTGGAAGCCAAGATAAGACGAAAGATCTTAAAGGTCTGTAGGACTAAGAAAGGTAGATCGAAAAGTATTAATTGGTACAATGGCGAAATGATGCCGCAAGGTTTATTGAGCCTCAGGTAGTATATCCCAGATCCTAGTTTCTCGCTATTCTTCTGTCAAGTGCTTCACCAGTGGGCATAGCAGCAAAGTGCTTGCTGGCTAACAAAATGTACTCAAATCTTCCAATTTGATGAGGAGCGAGAGCTGAAAATAGTTTTTGAAGCCATTGCTTCGGTTTGTTGGCCATCAATGAACAACTTAAATGTTACTTTTGGTGATCAGTCCATTTCTTAGGTTTTACTTCTCATCCCCAGGCGCTTCTATCATCTATCGCCAATCACCTACTACACCATCTTACTTAGGTATGGAAATTTTAAAATGACAATCGAGCCACACTATTTGCAGATAATATTTACGAGCCTGAACTTCAGATGATCTGGGGGTATTAGTGCCACAAATCGCCCACTGAACACTCATGGGCTAGTATCCAATGTAAGGCATAACTACTTGCAGTAATTGTAACTGCTTAAGTAGTGAATTACATTGTGAATTTCCTTATAGGAAAAACTTGTAGCGGTTTGCTACACTAATAAGCCTTGACTAATGCTCAGTAAAATAAATATCAAGAATTCCTTTTTGGAATGGTTTCTGGGGTTAGCGAAGCTACTGCAAAGCTATAAATAAAACAGAGGTATGACACGGAATACGTTTATTTGGACTATGTGTATGATGGGTGTGTGTTCATGAAATGGAGCAAAAATCATTAAAGACTATTTGGGTACGATGACACTGTAATGACTACTGGTTATTGACTAGTATTATTGGCATCACTTCCGCAACATTCCGGAATGTTTGAGCGTACAAGCACTTCGTGCTTCTGTCATACCAGCGTGGTTTCCATGGGCTACAATGAGTTTTGAGAATCTTTAATCACATACATGGTCAGATACTTCGTTGGGAAAAATTCATGTTATTAACTAATCTTTCCAGCCAAAGTCAACGTAATCCTTCATGAAATTAATTAATCATAGTGTTGGAGGAAGCACTGTACATATATAATAGTATACTAAAGCAAAACCATGGTAAGTAAAGTTGCGTGGAGTGCGCAACGCTGTCAGATGAACGGATTCCACGTGCACGTTTCCTCAATGGCGTTGCGTTAGCTTGTCTAAACCTGAGGACCATACCAAGCTAGCCAACCGCTCCAGTTGCATCAATTCACTTGGTTTGTTTGAGAAATTTCAGACCTGGTAACTGCCACCTATACGATTGATTGAGTGTTTCAAAAATCTCCCTTCTGAGTCCAGTAAATCAAAAATTTCTACTAGAGGTACAGTTTTGGCAAGTGTTTGATTTTCCAAATGACCTTTGATGGAGAAAGTTTGATGATCTTTGGAGATTCCGGGAAAACTCAAGCCGAGATTTGCCTTGTTTTTGTCTTTTAGGATGTGGTGATTTGTGCATTTGGAATTGTACCGCTCAGCTAAAGCTCAACTATAAATATTTCGGGGAGTCGGTTGTGCTAAATATTGAGCTTTTAAAGTAAAGTTTCACTTTTGCTTGGCAGAAAGATAAAAATTACACCCAGAAATGGCTCATTTTTAAAGTCTGAAGCTGTTAGCTGTTAGTTGGTGTGAAATGCGAATTACATTTAATATATTTTCCCTTATAGAGGCAAAATACAATAAGTTAACTTAACTAATATTGTGAATAACAAGACTCACAAAATTTGGAATGAAACTGTCAGAATGCATTGGTTAATTTCTTAGCACAACTGGACAATTAAAGAAACAATTTGAGTATTATGATGCGACAGAGTGAACAGTCTCCTTGAGAGAAAATGGACAGTTCAAGGTTTCCAGAATTCAAATAAATTACGATTCAGATGGTCGAATTATTACTGAATCTCCCCC